TTACGTTACCGTGCGGAGGAGGGGGAGGGGAGCGCTGACTCACCCGCCGCGTCACTGCCGGTGGGGGGGTTCTCCTTTGCGCAACATGTCACACTATATATATATATAGTGTGTGTGTGTGTGTATATATATTGTAACATGTTTTGTCACTGAATACGCTGTTCAGATGGTTAATTGGTTTATTTAAGAACCTACAAGTCTTGACTACAATTAATTAAAACATAGTTGCGGGTTTGCACAATTTATAAACCCTGCACAGTAATCTCTTCAGTAGTCTTCACTTATTCACAGTACTATATGGGAGCTATACCAGTGTCACTGTATTACACACTCCAAATACCTTCTCACACTATCACTTCTAATCACATGTTCCAGTATTCTTCTTTCCGTGTTCACGATTCACTCGCTACAACTGAACTCGGTGACTGTTACAGTTCAGCTGTCTTAGGCGGCTGCTATATTTCAACTGTCTTCGGCGGCTGCTACATTTTTAACTGCTTGTAACTCGTAACTGGCTCAATACTCACTCACTAATCACTCACTACTGAATAGTGTTCGCTGCTCTTTATTTAGCCTTGGGATGGACGACATAGAAAACAGTTACGTGATCGGTACCGCTGTTGTGTGACGTCGTGTTTACCGATTGCCTAGCAACACTGTCACTGCATGGGCTCCCCTGTTGTGTGACGCCGTGTTTACAAAGGCGTTGTTGGGCAACGCTGCCGAGAGTTGTTCATTGCTGCATAGCAACCGCGGTTTCCCCTGTTACGTCACCGCGGGGGAGGGGGTGNACACAACACTACAATGCTTTTGTTCTTATATGATTTATTAATACACTTTTTTTCCTTGTTAATGTTTCAACACTGAATTCCAGAGAGTTACAATAGAGAGTGTTACTTTATTAAGATATGGAGAAACTGCCAGTTCTTCTTTGGTGAAGGTCAAGGCTGAGCAGTCTCAGTCACTTGGGAATGACTTCTGAACAGCTTCTTGAAATGGATTTTTTGGCAGGTAGATGTATCTTCAATGAAGCAAACAAGCAACAAATACTTCCAAGTCAATCTGGTTTGTAGTATGCATAATTTTGATTCATCTCTACAAAAACTATAAAGATATCCATGGTTGTATGTGTAATACATGACGCAGAATTACTATGCACCACAAACAGTCTCCTCATTAAGGTTTGCAGCATGTATTGCTGAGCCTGGCAACAAGGACTACTTTCATTTATCTTCCCTTTCTCACTCATTTTTACCTGAAAACAGAGCAGCAGGTTCTTCTGAAATATGGTAACTTCCTACAGGATAACATCATATGAAAACCCAGATAGCCAGAGTTTGAATTCTTACCATCATGGAAATCTCAAATCTGATAATCTGTATAATTTATATTGTTGGCTGTTGAGAGATGGTTAGAAATAGTTTTCATCGATCTTCTGAAACACAAAATAAATACAAAGAAGGACCAGTGATCTTAGGCGAGGTATCTCATGCATAGCATGGAAAACCCACAAGTATTTTATGTGCTATCCCATACTATTTATTTAATTCGCAATTTGTGTCATTCAGGGTGTTTTTTTCATTCATTCATTCATTTGTTTACAGTTCTAAAAAATCCATGAAGGCGTCTGCCTCAGATATAGAACAAGTCGTGCAGGGTGTTTTTTTTCATTCATTCATTCATTCATTCATTTATTTACAGTTCTAAAAAATCCACGGAAGCAACTGCCTCAGATATAGAAGTCAGCAATACAATATAACATATGAATATACATACATAATCAGATAGTCATCATCGTCAAAATTTTAAATACTCAATACAACAAGACTACTATACAGCAATACATTCCATATATCAGAATAACACATAAAATTACATACATGATCAAGAGACCACCAAGACTCTTAATATAGTCATATAAAATCTAATTTCTTAATATATAATACACCTATATCACAACAGTAATAGTACCTTTTTCCTGTGTAATATATTCCATAGTCTGTTGCAACCTAGCAATAGGCAACAGTGTTTATTTAAATATACATGAGGGATCAGTCTTTACTCCAGCAGTAGTACTCTTCAACAGTGTAAAAGGAATTTGTGATTAGAAACTTCTTTAATGCCACTTTAAATCCAGGAATGTCATAAGATAATTGTTTAAGCTCTGGAGGGAGGTGGTTATAAAGTTTGATACCAGAATACCATCCACCTTTCTGAAATATCGTTAAGTTTACCACCGGAAGATGTAAGTCATGATTAAATCTGGTATTACTGATGTGGACATCAGAGTTTGTTATATAGCAATCTCTATTCTTGACAACCAGCATAAGTAAGGAAAGTATATATTGTGATTGAAGTGGCAGTATATGTAACTCCTTAAATAAATTATGGCATGAGTCCACATTATGAGAATTGGTAATAATTCTTATTATTATTTTCTGTCTTTTGAAAAATGAGTTTTGCTTGGGCCAAACTCCCCCAGAATATTATACTGTAAGATATTATTGAATGAACTAAGGAGAAATAAACAGTTTTTAGGCACTCCAAGGATAAAAGAGGTTTTAATACTCTAATTACATAGGATGCCTTATTTAGTTTGGGTATCATTTGGTCAATATGGGTTTCCCATGACAATTTATGATCAATAACCAAACCTAAAAATTTTGTAACATTCACATTCTTGTGTTTTTAGTTACAAATTGTAGAAAATAAGTTTTTGTAAGATTTAGTAGTAATAAATTACTACTAAACAATTTATTTAATTTTTCTAAAACTATATTTATATCTTTTTCAAATATTGGGGTATCAGGATTAGTAATTATTAGACTTGTATCATCTGCAAAGGATTGGATACATCAGATATGACATTAGGCAAATCATTAACATATAGAAGGAAAAGCAGGGGATCAAGTATGGATCCTTGAGGGACTCCAATGGTAACAGGCTCCCATTTAGAGTAGAATTTAATTGAGTCAGAAACAACTATTACTCTCTGGTATCTATCTAATAAATAGGATTTAATTACATCGATAGCTCTTCCCTTAATCCTGTAATGTTCCAACTTTGAAAGCAGAATATCATAGTTGACACAATCAAAGGCCTTGTGAAGATCACAAAAAACACTGCCCACAAATTCTTTTTTATTTAAAGCAGTCAGGATATTATTAATTAGACAGTAAGCTGCATCATCTGTTGATTGTGCATGTCTAAATCCAAACTGTTCATTAGCAAGAATATTATTATTCTTGATATGTCGTTGCATCCTATTATAAATTACTTTTTCAAAGATCTTAGAAACTGATGTGAGCAGTGAAATAGGTCTGTAGTTAGATGTGTCACTTTTATCACCTTTTTTATATATGGGCTTTATTTAAGAAAACTTTAATCTTAGTGGAAAATTGCCAGTTGTTAGCATTCTATTACACAAATAAGTTAGAGGAGAAGAAATATAGAGACTGCTAACTTTTAAAATTCTAATGGATATCCCATCATATCCATATGAATTTTTTGTTTTTAAGGATTTTATAATATCTTCTATTTCCTTTGACGATACGCATTTTAATGCAATAAAGGGAAAAGGTTATGGATTAGTCCAGCCTCATGGATAAGTAATATGGCAATAAAAGGTAAGATAATACTGTCTTTGTGCCAGAATAATTAAGTCCCATTAGATATGAAGCTGGGAAGGTCCTAGAGCCGATCTAAATACTGTGGAACATGGGGATGAAACTGGGATAGGAGTAAGGGAGACACAGTAACTATTGCCTCTATGAATGACAGAAGAAACTTCACGCAGGTCTCGACCAATCAGAGAGCCTAAGCAAACAAATTTGAATTCCTGCAATCATATGGGGTTATGGTGGTTCATTGTATGCAAATTGGTAAGTATGAATTTTGATTTGATGTAGTTGGGAAACGAAAGTAGACATTTGCAAACGAAATTACAGCTCTATATTAAACATTTTATTTGTGTATATGAATATATGCTTACTACCACAAATGAAATTAGAAACATATAGAATTTTTTAAGCCTAAAATTTTTTAGGTTATCATGAACTGTCATCTAAACGATATTTGTTTTATGATATGTTCTGCAACTTTCGGTTTATCCCAAAGATTGTCTTTTGAATGTGAAGGAGTTCTAAGAGTACCATGATGGTGTTATAATTTTTATATTGCTTCTTGCAGTATAAACATGAAAACGAATACATGTGCTGCCGCTGCTGGGTGCTTGTCATCCAGCAAGCAAGGCATCAAATTCTTCAGCTTTCCAAGGGATCCAGCACGGTATGTCTGTTTTAATTCATGATGTAATTACTTTATTATGTGTTGCTTAATCAAATGAATAAATTAAGTTTAGTGTATGTCTATGTTCAATTTATTCAACATAACCCAAAAATTCAGAATGTGTACCAAGTTTGTAATGTTTACTAAATAATTATTTCTAGATTTTGAGACTATTTGTTCTACTTTTACAGGGCTGCGGTATGGGCAGGAAAAGTTGGAATATCCTGCACTATTAATTCTGCTAGAATTCTGCACAATAAATATTTGTGCAGCAAACATTTCCTGAAAAGTGATTTCACTACAGCTGAAAGGGTACACATGTGGCTCAGATTCTACTTCACAGTCACTCCCACAATCTCCTGTCCCTTCCTTGAATCCCTTGCCTTACAAAGACTGTACTCATGTTGTATTTCCCACCACCTACAACCACCACCATTCCCTGTAACACATATTCCTATCCATGCACACAGTCCTTCCACTTCCTTTAAAATGTCTGCAGTGCAACCATTACTAACAGCAGCCAACAACTTTTGCAGTGATTTTACAGGGCTGCGGTATAAGTCCTGTAAATATAAATGCTTCTGATGGGGAACTCAGGCATATCAATCACTGCAGCAAGCCACAACACTGTAGTGGCTACAGGTAAGGACCACTGCACTCTATACTATGAAGTATGTGATGTTATGAAAGAAGTGGCTAAAGAGAGTAATGAGAGCTAATTTTTGAAGTGATTGTCCCCAGAACCCAGTGGTGATCAAACAAACATCGTCATCATCATTCATTACTTATGAAACTGCACATCAATATACAATTTTATTATAAATCTTATTTTACTCTCTCATGTGCAACTTTTTTAAGTTTAAAAATTTTAAATTTTAATCTTAAAGTTAAAAAAATAGTTTCACATATGACTGTAAAATAAGATTTATAATAAAATGAAAGAATACAACAGGATGCTACAGTACAATCTTATCAATATACAAGTTATATAGAATATAGTCAAAGGTTTTTAGGGTAATTAAAGAAGTTTGAAAAGCAAAACACACTATCAGTAATATGATTTATAAGAGAATAAGGTGATAAAGACTTTGCTATGAAGAATAATTTAATCAAATATACAACACTTTTACAATGGCAATCCCTTTAATATCAAAATATTAATTAGTGTTGGAAGTAGTGTTTAGAATTGAGAGATTCATACATTTTTATTTATCAAATTACATACTTTACATATATAATTATTTGGCGTGTGTATGCAATAATAAGTGTTTCGCCGGCAAGTTGACATCCTTCTGCTTCTTCCGCTACTCAGCTGCCTTCTATGAGCATAAGTGTACTAATACTCTTTATGATTATGCTGTAATTAATTACTAATATTACATTAGCTTAATGCATGAACTTTAACAAAACTGGAAAGGTATTTACGAGTAAATTTGTTGGGACTGGGCCTTCGTCTTATAAAAAAAGAACTTACTGGGCTGCGGTCTCATAAAGGTTGAGAACCACTCTTCTAGGCAATGCCGTGTTTGCGCAATTCACAGAAAAGGGAGTATGACTGCCTACATTTGCAAGTTCTGTGTAATGCCACTTCACAAAGGGGAATGTTTACAGAAATATCATACTCTCAAGCACTTCTAGGAGCATTGGTAAGTGTTCTCCAAAAATTTTAGTTCATAAAATTAATTAGGAGATTTTATATTAATTTTTAAAGTGAACAGTGCACAAGTTAGGGTAGTAGGTTTAAAAATGCCAGTCCCCAGGGTGATTTAAATATTTAAATCGCCAGTCCGTGAAGTGTTAACATTTTGCACTTCTGGTACAACGGTGAAAATAAAACATGAAAACAGAAATAAATGTAAGTAGATGTGCATGTACAAATATTTATGAATGCCTGAACTAGATTCAGACATAAAACTGAAAGATCACAGTCTATACTTGTTGATTGTGGTTAAATAGTAATAACAAAAATATAAATTTTATGATTTTATTACCCATTTATGAGATCCATAAAAATAGCTTTAAATTTGCATTGACATATTTAACAAGTTATATTTTACAGTCAAAAACTAAGAATGTTATCTAATTCATCTTCACTGTCTAGCAGTATAGGTTCACAAAGGAAAACATCCTGTGAATTCATACAAGTACTGACACTGTTGCAGTGCACTGGGCCATGCTGTAATGCAGGGTAAGTATTTCTGTTAATGGGTAGTTCTACTAATTCACTGTCCCCACCAAATGAATTACAGCTATCTTGCTGCACCTCCAAGGATGGATTTCGAACATACTGCCTGTTCCACAATTCATCTGGCTGATTTTCTTCATCTGACGGGTAATAATTTTCCTTTCTTTTTATACAAGAGAAGTTCCTCTGCTTTGTGCTGCTCTGACATATGTCTTTATCCTGATGGTCAGAGGTAGGTTCCATGTTAGTATGAAATATATTAGTCCTGTCATTACAAAACACAGCTTCTTTCTCAGATGAATTTAAAATAGGTGAATAAAATATTTGTCTCTTAAGTGCACTGTCCTGTTTGTTAGAAATTTGTGATGCATTTGTCACTGTTTCAGTAATTAACTGTGATGCTAAAATCGCAGAAGAATGAGTATCAGCAGCATCTGATTCTTCCAGATCTTGTTTATCAAGATATCTACTCCATTTGCTGCAGTGTGGGGTTACAAAATGAGATTCCCCAGCTAAAAATAAAGAAAAAAGAGATATGAATATACACTTCTGTAATAATTTTCAAATTGCCTGGTTGCATGTGCTATAAATATTGGCAAGAGAACACTCTCACTATTTGTTTAAAATTTTTGTTTTTTACTACACTCTTCCACCAAAACTGATAAATAGTAAAGCCTGTTTATGACAAGACTCCAAGTAATTTGAGAATTTTTTATTTAATATGTACTTCTATATAAATATTACACAATACAGAACCCATTATTTATGACCAAAATCTAGTGTCAGCAATTCAAGTACAGTGAAACTTCCCTTAAAGACCGCTTTTTTACACATGCCACATTTGTGCGGCATGGATTATGTTGCGAGCCATTTTAGTGTAACACAACCCACTACCCAGAAAGTAACCTATCCCCAATCAATGCACATACTTGGTCTTTATCATCTGGGATAGTTAAATTAGAAACTAATAAAACAAGAAATACTGATAAGACTATTACTTTAAATATTGAAGGGACTCTGGTCAATAACCACCAAGTGATAGCAAATGAGTTTAATAAATATTTTTCATCTATAGCTAAAAATATTAATAAATATGATGAACTTAGCTTTTATAACCCAGATAATATTACTCCTCTCCATTACTTATCGCAGTCTTTTAAGACTCCGTTTCCAAACATCAAACTAAAATTTGCATCGTCTAAAGAAGTTGAAAATATAATAAAATCTTTTAAACCCAAAAATTCCTCTGGGTATGATGGAATATCTACTAAGATACTAAAAACTCTTCTTTTATTAGCTATCCTTTAACTTATATTTGTAATAAATCGTTATCTTTAGGAATTTTTCCAGATCATCTCAAATATGCAGTAGTTAAACCTCTGTTTAAAAAAGGTGATAGATCTTGTATTTCCAACTATAGACCCATATCTATGTTAAGTTCCTTCTCTTAAGTTTTTGAAAAAGTCATGTATAATCAACTTCAGGTGCACTTGTGTGATCACAGTATTTTAGAAGAACAATTTGGGTTTAGAGCAGATTCATCAACAAACAAAGCCACCCTGCAAGCTTTAAATAGTAAATCTCTAGTAGGTGGTATTTTTTTTTTTGATCTTGAAAAAGCGTTTGATTGTTTAAATCATGATATATTGATCTCTAAATTATAATTTTATGGTGTTAATGGCAAAGCTAAGTTATGGTTTGAATCATATCTTAATAACAGATATCAGAGAACTCAGGTTTCTAATGAGGAATCAGATCTAATAAATCTTTCTACATGGGAAAAGATAACTGATGGTGTTCCCCGGGGATCAGTTCTGGGCCCTTTGTTGTTCCTTATTTATATTAATGATTTGCCCAAAATTGTAGACGGTAATGCTGTACCTATTTTGTTTGCTGATGATACAAGCATATTAGTCAAAGGTTCTAGCTCAGGGGACTTTTGAAATAAGATGTCTTAACACCTTCACTTGCGTAAATAAATGGTCCAAGACAAATTTACTTTCAATAAATGTTAACAAAACTCACTGTATTCATTTTAAAACTAAAAATAAATCCACAATTGATGTAAATATTATTTATAACAATCAACCAATAACAACTATGTCTAATATTAAGACCCTTGGCATAAATATAAATGATTCATTGAACTGGAGAGGCCATATTGAATGTATTATCCCAAAACTGAGTTTGGTATGTTATATTATGAGGAGTATTAAGTCATATATGTCTTTCAATGTTCTGAAAATTATTTATTATTGATATTTTAATTTGATTAGAAGCCATGGCTTAATGTTCTGGGGAAATTCACCCCACGANAACAATCTTCCTCCACATATTAAAGATATATCTCATAATCCAAGGAAATTTGAAGCCTGTCTAAAACATTTTCTTTATACACATTATTTTTATTCCATTGATGAATATCTTCAGTTTAAGGCTATTGCAAGTCAATGACATACCAAAGAATTTATATATATATATATATATATATAGTTTAATAAACTATGTTTATTGTCACCAAGTTTTAAAACTATTAGTAATAGAACTTTTTATATTTCTGTCGTCATTTTATTTTATTCTGTTTTTTGGCTTATATATGTACCACTTGACGTGTTCCATATCCTACCTGTTGTACTGTGGATCTATGGAATGTAAAATAAATGAATGAATGAATTATCAAATCCCCTCTAAAAAGACTTCACTCAGTTTCTTAAGTAATGATTCCACACGTTTATTTAATGAATTGTGTGATAAAACAGTTTTATGAAAAATCTGAAAGTGATGACAGACCAGCAGTGTAATGTATGTAGCACATACGTATGCACATGTCTATGTATGTTTTTATTTAATTATTAGCACCCGATTAACATTAACAGTTGCATCTGCTATTTGTGTAAAGTAATATTAAGAACAATAATTTCTGCAATACCATTGTTATATACTACATATGTATGGTGTTTATGATGCTGCCCAAATTCTCACCCATCCACCCTCTATTCAAAGACCACTTAACGGGTGGAATGGCCAATAGTCTTCTTGGAGAAGGTCCAATGTATATATGTGCCATAGAGTAACTTAGCAGCAGACACTTTCAGTTTTCTTCTTCAAGCAGTTTATTAAAATATTCTGTACATCTAAGCTTAAGCCTTGAACTTAAATATCCCTCTCAGAATTCATGGCAGCACAGTATAGAATAAATTATATGAACAGAAAATAATAAATACTAAGCCAGACTACTTTCTGTTAACTCTTGTTTCCACGTTAAACAGTTTCCATGTATTAGACACAGTCCTTGGTATTTACTGTACATCCTGAGGCAAAGAACACTTCATGGTATATGTCAGTTTCTATTCAATCCAGGTTTGGTTTTACATAGGTTTCAGTGTATCTAAAATTACCTCCATTGATCACAAAAATAGCTAGGTTCTTACTGAGAAAGAAAGAAAGAAGTAACCACAATATGGATACAGTATCATTAAATCTGTATAAATCATAAGATATAAACATTCCAGATTTATCTTGTATAAGCAGTTCAAATGAGCCACAGACAATTACAAATTTAGTCTCTATAAGACACATAAACTCACAATTATATATAGGCTGTTCCTCTAGGACACAGTGTACAGAAGCTGGGTCTTCACTGCATTCCTCCTGAAATGGAAATTTCTGGCACCCGTGTCTTTCTTGCTTCATTCGCATCTCATTGAGATGCTGGACATGAAGACGACAGTCTTTACCACTCCCCCTACCATATACCTTAAAATGAATAGAAGAGTAATACATTTAATTAACTAAGCAGAGTCCTTAGTGTGTAGTTAACGTGTTAATGGTCACTCTGCTAGTCAATAAATTCTTTGCCTGTTGCGGAACCTTAAGTTTCATTAATGTGTTCATTAGAGCCCACCATCATAACCTACTCTGAGCCAGATGAATCCAGTCCACGCTCTCACACCATACACATTTAAAATCCATCAGTTGTCTCTTTCCTTCAAGTTTTCCAATCAAAATGTGACATGCATTTTCATTGCACTTAATAGCACTGCATATCTCACCAACAATGCACTTCATTTGATCACCCTAATATCTCGCAAAGAATACAAATTACGATGCTCCCCAACCTCCTGTTGCTTCCTCTCTCTTACGTCCAAATATACTTCAACCTTAGCACCCTATTCTGAAATGCTTTCAGTATTTATTCCTCTCTTAAGTTGGCAAACCAAGTACCACATCCATACAAGAGAACAGATAAAATTATAATTCTGTATATATTAATTTTCATATTTTTAGATAGGAAGGCAAATGTTATGCTCAGATATTAAATATGGTTTTCCTTCAGCAACATGTCATTAGATATTACATATTTCAACTATATGGTGTTAATGAACATAATTTTGACCAATTATATGGTCTTCAGACATATTTAGTCCAGACTCTGCCAAATTTTTTGTGATCTAAGCTGGTGCCATTAACCTGAAAAAAATGCATGACTCTTCAACACAATTTGAACACCTTAGAAATTTAAACCCAGTCAAGATTATAATATTTTGAGACATGACATCATGTATAGTTTGGCAGTTACTAAGTACCAACATTTCAGTGAAGTATGCTGCCTCCATCTTCATATCCTGGGAGGCAGCAATCTTGATACTCGTGTACCAGAATTTATTTATTTGTTTATATTTGAAATATATCAGTCTTATACCCCTATCACATTGCCTTTATTTGTTAATGATAGATGACACAAACTATTCCAGTTGAAAGTGATACTGTGCATACATACATATACAATTGCGTTTCAGATTATTCACAAATGTGCACAGGCACAGAATATAAAACATGTCAACAAGCCAACAAGACAGTGGAAACTTGTACATTCACAAACATTGCTAGTGGCCATCTCCACGTAATACAATATAAAAAAAAATTAGATACAAAATTGGTTTTGGCTTTGCCTGTGGTCAGAGAAGCATTAGTTGTGTAGTATGAACTGCTATACTACTTAGAAAGCAAACCCATTAAATTAACTCCATGTTACAGTCTTCTGTGAACGACTGACAGCTATTCAGCTGGTCAAGGATGTCCCTACTTAAACAGAACCCTAAGGTTCATCAACACGTTAACAATTTTGCCTGTGGAGCTGACAACACACTAGCTCAAACAAATTCATAACCTCATAAATTAACTTTTTAATAAGCATTTTAATTTTATCCTTGTGGTCTCTTCCCTTGAAGGTTTTCCAACACAAATATTATATGGATGTTTCTTACTGTATACCAGCCACCATCCCACCTACCACATGGCTAACTGAAGCACCTTAGATATTTATTTTTAACCATCACATTATATATAGTTCTGAAATATTTGATTTGGAACGAATGCGAGGCAGTACCTTTTTTATGGATTGCTTTTCACCACACATTTTGCATTCCCACTTGCTACTCTTCTTCACAGTGTGAACCTGTAAAGAATTATAACCTGTAATTCTATGATGGGTACATAATTATGATACATTTTTAGTTGTCATGAATTGTAAAACCATATTCTCATCCATTTAATATACATTTTTGCGTGAGACTATTGTTATAATTTTACACCACCACTGTATTAACTGCAAGATTTTAAAATGTTATGGCGGGAAGTGCAATGGGACAGTACCTGAAATGTTTGGCAAGAGTAACACCGCAGAACATGTAACTCCTGAGGCATTATACACTAATATGCAAACTTCAACCTGTTAAAATTACTGGGAATACTGACGCTGAAAATAACGGTAAAAAAGAACAGCCAGACTTTTAATTAAGTTTATGTACCCTCACACAATACTCTCTTGCCGCTCTTGCCAAAGTCGGGGGTTGCGTTCCTTTATATAAACCTATAAAGTATTCGATTGTCCACAATATGCATGCGTTTTCTTCTTCACATAAGTCGACAATTTTCACGCTTCCGCTTGCAAAATCCGCACTCCAAATCAGACCTTAGCAACAAGTACAGAAGATCTACAAATCCCACATCTTACAGCGGCAGTTTTCGTTTAAATATTCCGGCGGGAGCTATGCACAGTAGGAGGGGGAAGAGGGAAATACGTGCCTAAATGAGGAGTGCTTGAATTAGCGAGAGCGCTAAGAAATTCTTTGTACGTAGTTACCGGTTACGGGGTTACTCGCACAACCTGCACGACATACAGCATTTATCTCTCTGACATCCGTAATCCGTGTTCGTATGTGATCGTCTGTGATCTATGTGAGTCCTGCTGATAGCATTTTGTTTACTAGTTAAGTGAGTTCAGTAAGCGATCGTAAGCGATGTTGTTGACAATGAGGCAAGGGTTTATTTGTGTCAATAAGCATGAAAGGTAAGTTCGCATGCAGTTTAACAGGAACAGTTGTATTTTCTGGTATATAACAGTATAATACCGTGTAGTCCGTTCAAAGCAGTTAACTTGCTATCTGCTTCACTCTGAAGTCTTGCTTGGCTAGTTTTTTCTACCCTGAAGATGGAGTCGCCATTGCCCTCCGAAATGTCTATTGACGTTCAGCGGACTACACGACGGTATATCCCAGATGATGGAACTCTATATAATCACTGGTGTGAGAACCTCACATTCTATAATATAACATTAGTACATCAAATATTCTACAGAATTGAGAAAGGAATTTTTGAAAACATAGTGCATTCAGGAAATCCATTGTGTATTCTAAATTCGAGATTTGTGATCTCAGGTTTACTTGTTTGGCTGATCATCACCAAAAAATGTGATACTAGTTAGGGTTTGAAGTTTTTGTTGCATCTTTTCTGAAGCCCACCAGTGCATTAGTCATAAAAAAAGTAAAGCTATCCCTGTAACAGGCTGTGAAGGCCCATAGGGTTGTGAGACGTTAAGGGTCCCACATTACCTTGACAATTGGCTCAAAGATGGTAAGGTTGTGGGCCTTACGCGCCGGCCACGCTTCACTCCCCAGGAAAATCATTTAATTAATTCCTGGTACTCAGAGGCTGAGTAAACCCCAGGGCCTAGTGCGGCCGGAAGAATTAGGTCAATTGAAAGAAGACCAAAATACCTGAAGAGGCATTAATTTGAGTAAATAAACGTATCACTTCATTCATAACGATCATAATCTCTACTTCAGCTCTTTCATTCTGCCACATACAGGATAAATTGAATACAGCAAAGGTGACATGGTCCATAAGCCTCATACATTGAAGTGTTATTCTGTGATGAACATGGAAACCAAACTGGCTTGCATTGAGTAACATTCATAAAATTACTTGGACATTTGCAGGTGGGAAAAGGCACAACCAAATTGACCATATTTTTATAGATAGGAGACAGCAGTATACTTATACTTAAGTATACTTAATATCCAATCGTTCAGGCAGCAGATTGTGATACTGACCACTCTCTGGTGGTGGCAAAAGTTAGGGAGAGATCAGCAGTGAGTAAGTAAAGAACACACAGAGTTAATATGGAGAGGTTCAATCTCAAGAAATTAAACAAGTTTGAGGGTAGAGAGCATTATTGTGTTGAAATCTCAAATAGGTTTGCAGCTTTGGAAAACTTGTACACTTAGTTGGATTTTAATAGTGCTTGGAAAACTATTAGAGAGAAGAATGCTGTCTTATGGGATGTGGCGCAGTGTAGATCTTGTATGAACCGACATTTCAGAAGAACGTATCACTCCCATCTTCAGGGTAGAAAAATCCACAAGTGAGGAACCAGTGTGAGCGGGCGGCTGCAGAGAGAATATCAAAATTCCAGCCAAAGATAGTCTAGGTTATTATGAATTGAAGAAGCATAAGCCATGGTTCAACGAAGGATGCTCAAAATTATTAAATCAAAAGAAACAAGGCAAATTGTAGTGGTTCCTGGATCCAAGCGAAATAAATGGGAATAATCTGAACAATATAAGATGTGAAACCAGCAGGCATTTCAGGAATAAAAAGAGGGAATATCTGGAAGACAAAATTGATGCTCTTGCAATGAACAGTAAGTACAAGAATACTTTTAGAGATCTGTATAGAAGAATAAATGACTTTAAGAGGGGTTACCAAGCTAGAAGTAAATTAATGAGGGATGAGAATGGTGATCTGCTTGCAGATTCCCACATTTTCAATAGATGAAAGAACTACTTCTCTCAATTATTGAATGTACATAGGATCAATGATGTTAGGCAAATAGAAATACATGCATCTGAACTTAGCCATTTTGAGGTTGAAATTGCTATTGCAAAGTTGAAAAGGTATAAATCATCAGGTAGTGATCAAATTCCAGCAGAACTTATTCAAGGGGGAGGTGAAATATTATGTTCTAAGATTCATAAGGAAAAAGTGCCCAATCAGTGGAAGGAGTCTATTATTGTACCAGTTCACAAGAAGGGTAATGAAACTGACTGTAATAATTATCATGGGATATCATTGCTATGAGCTTCATACAAAATTTTATTCCATATTCTTCTCTCAAGGTTAAGTCCATACTTAGATGAAATTATTGGGGATCATCAGTGTGGGTTTCAATGTAACAGATCAACTATTGATCAGATCTTTTGCATTCATCATATACCAGAGAAAAAAATGGGAGTAAAGTAAAACAGTACATCAGCTATTCGCAGAATTCAAGAAACCATATGGTTCAGTTAGGGAAATATTGTACAATATTCTGGTAGAGTTTGGGGCACCCATGAGACTAGTTAGGCTGGCTGAATAAAATGCGTTTAAACAAAATATATGGTAAAGTCCATATAGGTGAACATTTGTGTGATAATTTCCCTATCCAGAATGGTCTAAAACAAGGAGATGCTTTGTCACCACTCCTTTTCAACTTTGCCTTAGAATATGCCATTAGGAAGGTCCAGGAAAACCAGGTGGGACTGAAATTAAACAGGACACATCAGCTGTTGGTCTACACTGAGGATGTGAATCTGCTGGGTGATAATGTAGATACCATACAGAAAAACACACAAATTTTAATTGACGCAAGTAACAAGGTTGGTCTAGAAGTAAACACAGAGAAAACTAAGTATATGTTACTGTCTCGTCACCAAAATGCAGAGCAAAATCATGACATAAAGATATGAAACAGATGTTTTGAAAATGTGGCACAGTTCAGATATTTGGGAACAACGATAACAGATCGAAACCTGATTCGGGAGGAAATTAAGAGGCGATTGGACTGGGCTAATGCTTGCTACCATTCAGTCCAGAACCTTTTGTCTTCTCGTCTGTTGTCCAAAAACATAAAAATTAGAATATGCAAAACTATAATTTTGCCTGTGGTTCTGTATGGGTGTGAAACTTGGTCTCTGACATTAAGGGAGGGACATCGACTGAGGGTGTTTGAGAATATTTGGGATGAAGAGAGACGAAGTGATGGGCGGTTGGAGAAAACTATATAATGAGCTTCATAACTTGCACTATTCTCCAAGTATAATTAGAATGATAGGTTAAGGAGGATGAGATGGACAGGGCATGTAGCACGAAGGGGAATGCTTACAGATTATTGGAGGGAAAGCCAGAAGGAAAGTGACCACTAGGAAGACCAATATGTAGGTGGGTGGACATTATTACACTGGATCTTAGATATGATTGGATGGTATGGATTGGATTGGATTTATCTGGCTTAGGATAGGGACCAGTGGAAGGCTCTTGTGAACATGGTAATTAACCTTTGGGTTCCTTAAATGCTGGGAAGTTCTTGAGGAGCTGGAAAGTTGGCAGTTTCTCAAAAAGGGGTCAGCTCCATGAGTGATTAAGTATTTAAGGATAAACTTGTATGCTCATTAGACAGGCTTCATAGAAGGAAATCCTTGCCTGTTGCAGAAAGTTCAGGATTTTTTATAGCCTTTGTCTGTCCACTATTGGAAGAAACTGATCATTCTTTGCTTCAGGCTTTACCAGAACCTTTCCATGAATTGAGTGATGCACTGATTGTAGAGCTCTAAGAGCTCAGCAGATGTCATTTCAAAGCAAAAATAGAGTGATTCCATAAATCTGTGAAAATGATCTTAGAATCAAAAACTTTTGTACTTCTATACCTCGCCGAGGACTGCACATGCCTTGTAAGATTTTAGACCCCCCACAGCAATGTGTCTGAAGCTGAAAATCTGATGTGACATATTGTAGTTATATATGGATACCAACATTTTGGAGGAATCTTCTACCTCCATATCCAGGGTAGAAACATCTTCAGGATAGAATGTTAATCCTTGAAGATGGAAGCAGCAACTAAATTCAGATGATGGTGCCCATCTACCAAACTGCATAACCTAACATCCCAGGAGTCCTTAACTGTGATACACATGCCATGTTCAAAAAGCGGTTCAAAGTTTTCACAAACACAACATGGAGGGTACTTTAATACATCCATCTGTTTTGTATTTTATGGAGGAATGGAATTTCAGTATCTGCCTTTGTTCTTCATAAGTGATAAATCTCAGTATGACACTAACCTATAATTTGCATTGCAAAAATCATTATGAAACCTTTTTAAAAGACAGACCATACTTAAATAATGTACTTTATGAAGGGGGCTGCTTCTAAGTATAAAACTATGGCAGTTTTCTGAATTTGTGCCATCATGTGTATGATCATACAGCATTTGCAGTATGATAATTCTTTGTTACAAGCCAGGGAAGAAGTACCCACTGTTGAAACTAACATGTAAGTTTTCCTTCACATCATCATTTTATTTATGTCACACTCTAAGCTTGAAGGAACAGATGCTCCACTTTGAAAAAATTCAGACAAATTTATATTCTTTTTACTATATTTGTCACATTACTTATCCTTTGTAAATAGTAGATACATTTTTCATTATTTATTCTAAAACAGCTATCATACTTTTCTAGAATTGACACTGTAGGTTTCACTAAAAGGATTCCAGCACTGTTTCAAAACCTTAAGTCCTTTAACACTTGAAACACTTGTAGCAATTTTAAATTTAAAAAAACATATTTAATTCTTCATAAAAACTACAATACCTGTCAAATAATGAATTACAGCAGTACTGTGCCAGAACCAACTGTAAACTGAATGGCTGGATAAGCTTACATTATGGAATTGGGATATGAATAAACATATTGCCACGTGTCGTTGGTTTGCATGACTAATGAAACATGTTTTGGATTTGGTGATCAAATCACATGTGGCCTTCCATTTGTATCCGCTTCGACAACCTCAGTTTTTGGTATTATGTGCGTGGTTTCTAATTTGTGAAATTGGTGTCTCAAGAAGAAGGTAAGCACAAGCATCTCCATGGATTCCAGGTATCAGTTATGTAATGTCTTAAAGGTAAATAATAAAATTGTTTGTTTCATTGTTTTAATATGTTACCTGAACATATATTTTCTATGTCTACAGTTGTACAGTAAGTGGCACATGGTAGCATAGTTGGTTGAGGCACTGTGCTCCAGGCTGGAAGGTCGCAGGTTCAATTCCTGATGAGGTCATAGGATTTCTCAATATACCTAATCCTTCCAGCCATATTGTGTCCCTTGGGTCACCTCAGCCTCTAACAGAAATGAGTACCAGGAATCATCCTGGGGTAAAGGGTGGTTGGTGCATAAGGCTGACAGCCTTGCCAACGTCTGTGAACCAATTGTCTAGAAAATATGGGAGCTTCGATATTTCACAACCCTCTGGGCCTCCACAGCCTGTTACAGGATTAGCTTTACAGTTGTGCAGTAATGTAATGAGTTGTTATTTCACAGAAAACCAAACATTTCTTACTGGCTTGTGCAGTTTTTTAGTTACTGATGATTTCATTGTTTTAATTACTATGTTACCAGAACATAAATTTGTTATACAATAACATTTTGAGCTGTTCTTTCACACAGAACCAACCATTTCTTTCTGTCCTATATAGTTTTCTCTTTAGAGAGATTTGTAACATGGTACACCATATATGTGGATAAATTTTAGGGGAGAAGGGTGAACCGTGCTCATTTTTACTTAACTAATAAACATCATTAAATAGGATGCGTTACATCGGTATGTAGTTACGCAAAACAGATCACTATTAGGAAGGTGTAGTAAGCTAGTTAATCTCACTGGTAAGATACTTGTGTTTTCAATTCTTGTATTTGACAGGTAACTAGTTAAAATCCCAGCTGCTTATAGATACCCAGACTGAGGTGTTCCACATTTGTCTCAAGACTCCCCAGAAAATTATGGGACAGCATCTTAGACTTCCTTAGCACAAAGAACCTGCATTCCTTTTATTCCCTTTTATATTTACTGCTTTTTTCCTGCCTTCCCTCCTCCACACTGGCTACATTGGTGCCACAACCCATCTGTTTGTCCTGTTAACAATTCTAGCAGCCGTATCTTTAAATTTGTGTGGATAGTCAGGAATCAGAGCTGAGATTATGGTATCAGTTTGGCTACAGTGTCAGTGGATGACAGAAAGATGCAGTTATAATAATAAGTTATGAAAATATACAGAATTATTGATAATTTAAAAATTTACATGAAGAGAATAAGAACTGAAAATTACCATATTCTGGGATGTGACACTGTGTGGTTTGGTAGACGTTTGCCAGTGTTTTGAGGGGATGAGTTACCTCCATCTTGAGTCTCAAAGATGAAACCAAGCAGCCCACTTTTCTCATTTCTTTCTTGCTCACTTTATTCTTCAACTGAAGATGGAAGCAGGGTACATGATGTAACATCCAAGAGTGTAGCTCTCATCATAGTCGCTGACATGAGAATATAACATCCCACAAAATAAATACTGCTTTACAATTTGGTAACGTTTAAAGAGACTGATATTTTACATATTAAATAAAATTTTGTGCATAATATGTGGGATGCCTGGCTCCAGATCAGATTTATTTCTTTCAGTGAAAAAGTGTTGGAACTTTATTTAGAACTTTAATATATTTACACTCTTTCAATAACATGTATTTTTATTTATCACCATCTTCCCAGGGGACTTGTAAAATCAGATGCATTATAAGATGTGCATTATTGAGCAAGAAGAATATAGCTGAACATTAAGTTCATGGTAAAACAGTAATTGTTTTTTCTTGATATATTTCTAGTTTCAGTTTTGATGTAAGTTACTTATATAGATGCTTTCTTTGAAAGTAACTTGAAATTTTGGAACTTGAGTATGGTGGTAACTATATTGTAGAAGTATTTTATTATGTCTCTGTTGTTGCATACATTAACCAGTAATAAAGAAAAGTCTCCTCAGAATAACGTTTCTTGAACCGTACATGCTATTGAGTAAGGTTAGCTGCCATCTGTGCTGTGGTTGAGATGGTATTTTAGTTGGCTTGAGTCCAAACTCTTGCAGGCTTTCCAGGAACTGTTGCCAAGAATGTCGTAGTTTCTCAGAACCACATCCAAGATCTGGGTGGGAGGGGGAAGAAAGAATTAGATTATCCATAAAGACTCCTGTATAAGAATATCCTAGATCTGTCATGGTGTCAGAAGTGATTGCATGCCTGTAGTCTCTGCTGTTAACTCATATTTTCATCTTTTTATTGTAGGATGTAGTCACTGCCTGGATACAGTGAAAAAGTGAAATCATCTGAATGCTGTTTGAATTGTGAAAAGTGAGAAATGTCTGTAGATGGAACACCGTTTTTGGTTCAAGCTGTTTATTCTTTCAAAGGAAAAAACAATGATGAGGTAATGATGTATATAGGTACATATTACGCCTGAGTGGCATTTTATAGTGCTATACATCTTTTGCTGCACGACTCAAGATTGTGATGTTATGACTTTCACTTTTAAAATTACTTATGCTAACTGGAAATATCCAGTATGTATGCATGGTCATGTTATGTCTTAGCATGAATAGGGAGTAAGGAACACCTCAGAACAGCATCTTACATCTTAACATAAGTGTGTATAAAAATAGGATTGCAGACAGGTCTGTTGCTTTAAAGTTATAAGTTAGTGTAGTGAACAGTATGAAGACAATGGAATTAGTGCATCCATTTTTTGTAACTTCAAGCCAACTGTTTATGGCTACTTCTGCTTATACAATTGATACAAAGCCATGTAATTGTAATCAGTTATATGTAATATTTAATGTACAAGTGATGGTATTGTCTGCAGATTTTGCATGTAAGTATTTTACCAGAAATTTGTAGTGAAGGTAGTCTTCGTAGAGATATTGGGTTTTCGGACTTTATCCATCATTCTGGTTTTAAGATAACTAAGAAAAACATGACGTTTCGGAAACTGAATCTGTTTCCATCCTCAGGTGAGGGAAAACACCTATTCTGGTGGGTCCCTTAGAAAGAGCTAGCCTCAGTCACTGGACAACCGATGTCCCAAAACGCAAAGGTTATAAACACCTGAGACCAGGGTAAGTCCATGAGAGCTAATAAGAAAAAGAAAAATCTTATTAGCTCTCATGGACTTGGCCAGGAAACCCTGGATCAGGTGTGATGAATGAGCTGGGGCGTTGTCATGATGCAGCTGCCAGTTGCGTGCGTCCCACAGCTCCAGTCTCTTGTGCCGAACTGCATCATGAGGATGGAGGAGGACTTCTTGGCAGTACTCCTTATTGACAGTTTGGCCTAGTGGTGCATACTCATGATGCACAACACCCCGGTAATACAAAAAAAAAAAAACGGTCAGTATCACCTTCACATTGCTCCGAACCTGTTGTGCTTTTTTGGGCCTTGGTGATGTTGGATGCTTCCATTATGACGCCTGGACCTTGGTTTCCGGGTCATATCCATACACCCATGACTCGTCACCAGTGATCACAGTCTTCAGGAACTCAGGATCCCTCTTGGTGCACTCCAGCATGTCCTGCATGACCTCAGGGCAGAGTTTTTGCTGCTCCAGCGGAAGCAGCTTGGGCACAAATTTTGCTGCCACTCTTCGCATGCCCAAATCCTCAGTTAAAATTGTGTTTGCGGAACCTCTGCTGGTCCCAACCTCATCAGCAACTTCCCGGATGTTCAAATGATGGTCCTCCATGATCAGTGTCCACACTTTTTCAATGACATCAGCATTTCGGCTTGTTGACGGTCTCCCGGAACACTGGTCACTGTCCGCCGACATACGACCTTCTTTAAAGAGGTTGAACCACTCTTCAATTTGAGTGACCCCCATTGCATCATTGCCGAAATTCTGCTGAATTTTGCGAATTGTTTCCACTTGAGTATCCCCAAGTTTCTGACAAAACTTGATGCAGTGTCGCTGCTCCAAGTGATCTGTCATCTTGAATGAAACGGGAATGTGATGAACACATGTTACACTACTTCGCTATCTGGCAGCCACAGACGCATCCGGAGGGGTTGCGAGTAAGCAAGAAATCACGTATGCGCATGAAAGTCCCTTTGCCACTACACTCAGTTTCCCCACCCCTCTGGCCATTACTTGCAGTGGCAAAAAATGAAGTTGGATACTTTTTGGACAGCAGTGTATTTATTCCACAGCCCTTCTACCAATACTCTACGTAGAATACTATACATAATTCCAGCATCAAAATTAAAACCTAGGAGATTACTAACCCTGAGGGGCACACAGTAGCATAGTTGGTTGAGGCACTATACTTTTCTTTCATTCATTCATTCATTCATTCATTCATTTACATTCCATGGATCCTAACATGGCTGGAAGACCAGTGGATATAGAAATTGTCAATGACAACAAGACAGATCACATCAGTTACATAAATACAAATTAATTTATGTAATCCATCAAAATTACACATGTTATTTGAGACAAATCACTGTGCTACAACCTAGGAGCCACGGGTTAGATTCATGTAGAGGTCCTAGGTTTCCATTGACCTAATTCTTCCAGCCACACATGGCCGTGGTGTCGAGGCAGCATCTAACAGGAATGAGTACCAGGAATCTACCTGGGGTAAAAGGTGGCCAGTGCATAAGGCTGACATCCTCACTGCCATCTGTGAGTCAGTGGCATAGAAATGTGGGAATCTTGATGTCTCACAACACTGTATGCCTCCATCGCCTGTTACAGGGATAGCTTCACTTATTTGCTCCCCCTGAACTTGGATAACGTTTCATAAGATTCGAAGTATCATAGGGATGTTTTTGGTTTATTAAGAAAGAGACCTGTATCTTGATCATATAGAGGAAGGATTGTAATATGTACTATGTACTTTCAGCTGTGCTTCAGGAAGGGTGACATAATCACCATAACACAAAGAGAGGAAGGTGGTTGGTGGGAGGGAACTCTTGGTGATAAAACTGGATGGTTCCCCTCCAACTATGTCAAGGAATATAAAATTCAAGGTATGGACAGTTGTGTCGCATGATATCCTTTTTTGTTTCTGAGATTTAATTAGACATCTAAGTTTATTAATACCATCATGTACACAATAAAGTGGTTTTGCAATTTTATGTTTTAAAAAATTAGCATCATATTGTGCATGTGAAATTTCTTTATTTTATTCCTTCACCACATTAGGAAGTATGGACACAGCATACATTCTCCTTCCAACATGTTTCATTTCATTAAGTCATAATCAGATATTTTACTTTTTTACATTCACCTATATTCATNGTGTCTCCTATTCAGTGCGACAAATAACTTCCACGTACGTCTCGGATTCAGCGAATAAGTTATTGAACGCTCACGTTTACACCAGCGAGTACAATTATTATCACATCCAGTATCACCAAAAAACTCTTCGGAGCTGGACTATTATAACCTGGCTTCGGACGCAATAGAGGGCACTTTCACCCAGGGTTCGATTTCATGTGTTCTGTGCCTGTTGCTGCAGTTATTCATAGGCAACGATCTGTTGGTATTCGATGGACGACAGAACACCTTGTAGAAGTGTTTGGTTTCATCCGTTGTTACGCAACGGAACCACTTATCCTCTCATCTCTGGGGAAACGCGTTTGTTGTTTCGGCAATTTCTATGCAACGGCCCACTGTTATTGCGCTTCCATGGAAGTATACTTTCCAGTTTAATCCAGTGTTACGCAAATGAATCTCTTATTCTATGCAACTGTTCTAGCGTTACTATGGAAACGACTGCTGGATTCAGAACATGTGACATGTTTTTACCTGTTTTTACCTGTCACAGGTGTGACATCTATATAATAGGTACATAAGAAAGCGCGCGTATTCGAATGCAACGTTGTGTCAAAATTTCAAAGCAATCGGTGAAGAACTTTCCAAGATTTTCGTACAGGGACAAACGAACATTTACATTTTTATTTATATAGATATAGTTCTGTCATATATTTAATCATTAAAATTAAAATTAAATGTATAAGGGGCAGTCAAATGAAAATGGGTCACCATGCGTAACTCACGGCGCGCAAGTTGGTAACACTGGAATTCGCTTACGGTAAGAACATCTGGTGGGGACTCGGGAAAGCACAGTTACATCGTGCCCTTGCACACTAGTAGTTTGTTTATTGTGTTGGAAGTAAGGTCCGTGCTACATGTGGTCGTCCAACATCAGTAATGGAGGTGGGTAAAGAACAGCAAAGTGTAGTGCGCTTTTTGACTGCTGAAAGAGTAGGAGGACGAGAAATTCATCGCCGCATGTGTGTTGTTTATGGCAAACACAGCATGTCATGTTTGCATGTGCTAGAATGGCATAAGAGATTCCAGGAGGGATGTGTGTCACTGCAAGATGATGCTCGCCCAGGACAGGCTAATCATGTCATCACTTCTGATGTTATTGCTGCCAGGCAAACCGACAGATCACTGTGGAAGAACTTAGTCTTTAGATGGGAATAAGTCACGGTTCCGTACACGCCATTGTGACAGAACACCTGCTGTACCACAAAATCTCCGCGCAGTGGATTCTACATCAACTCACAGAGGAACACAAGGCTCAGAGAATGGCTTCATCACTGGTTCACTTGCAATGATACCACGAGGAAGAGTATGCTTTTCTGTCCCTTATTGCCACTGGGGATGAAACTTGGTGCCACTATTTTGAGCCCGAGAGCAAACGGCAGAGCCAACAGTTGAAACACGTGAATTCTCCCCCACCAAAAAAGTCCAAAGCCCTACACACAAGTTCTGGTAAAGTGATGATGATGTTCTTCTTCGACTGCAAGGACCCTCTACTTGTCGAATTTCTCAAGCATGGGGCCACAATCAGTGCACAGTGCTATGAAGAAACTTTGCAGAAACTGAGACGTGCCATAAAGTCAAAATGCCCTGGAATGCTATCGAACAGCATTATCCTTCATGATAATGCGCGCCACTGCCAACTCTGTGAGGAATACGCTACAGAGATTTGGTTGGGAAGTTCTTCAACATCCCCACTACAGCCCAGATCTCTCCCCATGTGATTTTCACATTTTTGGAGACCTGAAGAGAGACATTCATGGACATCGATTTGCGTCGGATGAAGACGTGTGTGGCTGGGTAAAGATGTGGTTCCATAGACAGCCCACAAGCTTTTTCAAGGATGGGATTGACTGTCTTATCTCGCAGTGAGATAAATAGTATATTAACAGTTTTGGAGATTACTTTTGACGTAAGAAATGTTCTTTAATATTGTGATGTGGATGGCGCAATGGGAAGTGGGGGTCATGTGAACTCTGCGTTTCCTTGAGTGACGTCACATACCCCTACTCCTTCCACCAACAAGCAATGCGCGGTGGGCGCACCTCTCCCCCAGGTTGATGTGGCAGAGTGGCGGCTGTGTTGTTACCAAGGGATACCAACGGTTGCTATGCAGCAATAAACAACTGTCGCTAGTGTTGCCAGCAACACCTGTAAACACGGCGACTAGGCAACAAGGAAGCGAGGCGTTTTCCCGTTGACTAGCTGAGGGTTTGTAAGAGAACTACACTGCCTAAGGAGTCAGTTGAAATATAGCAGCAGTCTCGGGAAGAAGACCCGAATGCGTGGTTGGAATATCTTATGTGATAATTTGTGATACTGCCGAGGGCAGTAATTGGGCCAAGAGGAAATGAAGACCGGCCACAAAGAACTACTAGCTAAACTGGAGGATGACAGACAGGCCAACATGAAAGCATGGTGAGAAGAGATGGCCGCCATGAGAGACAAAGGGGCGAATGCCAACCACAAAGAGACGATAGCCTGTCAAGGGATGGAGGCACGTCGAGATGAGAGAAAACCGACCTCGCTGGACAGGAGACATGAGGCGGCAGAACAACGAGAGCTACCCGTAGAAGACGCTGAAGTAATGCCGGTTGGAGAACCGAAGAAGAAGAGGCATAGGGACCGAAAACTGGCCACGGAGCACCGAAGGATTTGACATGGAAAAATTGTGGACCCTGAAGAAATTGGCCGCCACCCACAGAAGGACAATACGCCGTGTGAAAGTGGCATGGAAAACACCAATAGACAAGAGGATGTCCCATCGCACAACAGTGGCACGACACAAGAAAGACATCTGCAGGCCGAACACCACCCACTGTGCGAAAGTGACACAGCGCAAGAGACACAGGTTTCAAAGCAGTCAAGAAGGGCCACAGGTTGAACAGGGACAGCAGAAGAATTGGACCAGAAACAATTCTACAAGGGGGAACCCAGAAATGATGGATTCCCAGATGGAGACAACTGATGCGTCAGGAAGGCACCAAGGAAACCAGGAATCACGACTCCAAAGACCAGCTACGGCTTTGAAGCAAGTGGGAATTCAGCAAGGCCCTCAGGAGGGTAAAGGGATTGGAAATCGCAAAGCAAATTTTCACATCTCCTGTCCCATTACAGAGAAGTAAAAACTGGACACTGGAGGGGTCGACCCCCNAAAATTAGGTAAGTTACAGCCCCCCCCCCAAAAAAAGAAGAAGAAGAAGAAGAACAAGAAGAAGAAGAAAGGAAACGGCCCGCATGGGAGGAACCAGTAGTAGAAACACTGGCCTCCCTAGCAAGAATGAATGAAGATTGAATGAGCGAAGAATGAATGTGAGGCAACAGAATCGACAAATTCTGGACTACGGGAGTGCTCGGGACAAGCACCACTGAAGAGAGGGATGGATGCGGTAGAATGAACAGCGCAAAAAGATGCCAGCAGAACACCGCGGAAATGGATGATAGGAAGAACCTTTAGGCTGTTTGGCGACGAACAACCTTTAGAAGGGAGCAATGTCACATGTTTGGAATCCAGAAATGTTACTTCCATGGAATCGCTAGAACAGACCGTTGCATAAGAAGTAACAATAGTGGTATTGTAATTCTATTGTAATTCTAACAGTGAGCCGTTGCGTAGAGAATGCCAAATCTCCATGGAGATGAACAACCAAGACCCGTTACGCCACAGCGGACAGTAGAAACGAAACCGTGAGGAATGGTGTCTGGTATCCAGTCCGCAGAACACCTATATAAGCCGAGAGCTACAGAGAGTATTGGAATATTAGAGTATTAGAGAACTGAGAATTGAGTACTGAGAACGAGACAATCTTAGAATAGCCGCCGGCAGAGATACTTGAGATCCAACCACGGCCAAGGATAGTTGAGACGTCGCATTGAAGTATTGGGCCAGAAGTCAAGTGACACTGCAAACGATAATAATTGTAAGGTGTGTAACTGTGAGTGTCCAATAACAATTTGCTAAATCCAAGACCCACGTAAAGTTATTTGTCACGTGACATATCCAATACGTGACAATATGTTGGTACCACATACATGATATTCAAAGGCTAGGCTGTTGGCTGTGTATGTTGCAACCAATGCTTATGTAACAAGACTCACATTCTTATAAGTTATATCTATCCTGTGTGAGATTTCAGGTTCTCATGGTAGTTGCTATAAAGATACTTGTCTTCTGGAATGTCACCATGCAGTTTGTTATTTCATCCTATTGATGAGTTAACTGCTTTAAAATAAGTGGCTTCCAGCACATTAACATTTCATAATCATTCATTCTCTCTGTAAAACGTGTAAGAAAAGGGTGGAATGCAATGCATCACACTCTCTCAGACACCGTGTTTGTAATATTTCATACGAAGTTGATGACTGTTGTGTTTTTTTATTGTTCTTTTTCAGAAACAAGTCCCTTGGCTGGTAAGACCTCACCTACAAAGTTGCCTCCAGAGCTTGCAGCTCAGCAAAAGGTTTATCGAAATTTGGTCCTGAAAGATCTCATAGATTCTGAAAAAGCCCACGTTGCTGAACTTCAAGGATTATTGAAGAATTTTCTTCATCCATTGGAGAAATCAGAAATGTGAGTGCTAATTTTATACACCAAAAAAATGCTCTCTTAGGTGTGTGTAATCTATGGACGTTTTAACTGAAAATAAAGTATGAGCACCAGACTTCTGATTCTTAATAATGCAATATAAGAATTTTATTGAATTGTAGAAATGTAATTTATTATACATTCTTTATTGTATGTTCCACTCACCTCAATTTAGGACCAAGATGAAGAGTTGTGGAGCTATACAGTCCCACTCCCACTCCCAGCTATACACTTCCACTCCCCCATGTCTTCATGGAATAGTGCTTAATCAGTTAAGCACAGGGACAACTTCAGTTTACTTATTTTATGTTCATCACATAATGACATTACTAGTACGGAAATAATGAAATTAGATATGTTTAAGATGTCTGGAATATTTCAACTGTGGATTTTGTTGTATTTATGCTATATATACTTTTTTTTTGCAATACATTTCTGTGTTGACATATAGCAAAAAAGTAAACATATCCCTGTAACAGGCTGTGGATGCCCATAGGGTTGTGAGATATTGAGGCTCCCACGTTTTCTAGACAATTGGCTCACAGATGGCAGTGAGGTTGTCACCTGCCCTTTATCCCCCACGAATATTCCTGGTCCTCATTTCTGTTAGAGGCTGAGTCGACCCCAGGTCCATAGTGCAGCTGGAAGGATTAGGTAAATTGAAAAAATCTACTTCATTGGGATTTGATCCTGCGACCTTCCGTCTTGTAGTATAGTGCCTCAACCAACTACGCTACTGCATGCCTCCGCACTGACATATATAGTGTACATATTTTGGACCAGACTACTGTTGTGCCCGGATAGGGGGCATTGATTGTACTCACCCCCTATCGGACGTCCGTGGATATCTCTTAACCTATCTGTTGAAATTATGCTTGCACTCGGGGGATCCACAAATAACTCAAGTACTCACCAACAACAATAAAGTAATATATAATGAAATAAACATCATTACAACAAACAACTTGTCAATACACACAACCTTCGATTAAACCCTTGCTTTTAAATTCCTACATTTAACTGTCCATAATACGCTGAACCTACATGACACAAACCAACACTTTTACTTGTAACTTCAAACTCAGTACATGGATGACATGCTTCTACTATTCAAACTCTTCATAAAACCAGCAATTATTCTCATTACTTGAATTCTTGTCCACTACTGCTACATGGTTTCTGCCATTACCCGGAGTCCAGTTACTTTCCACAAAAAAGAACCAGCAAAGTCAATCCTAGAAATGTGACAGCCAAAATCATTTGCCTTTTCATGCAAGATTCTATGATTTTATATGTAACAATTGCATAAATGTTGACGAACAAAACATTCAAATGCACGAGCACTTTCAAATTTCTTTAAATTACCAAACTCACATGATTAGCATTATCTACAACCTCAAACCAAAATACCAGGATAAATACAAATGGTTACCATCCAAACTTAATTACTAAACCAGATGCTGTTATCTAAACCATCACTCAGTAATTCAGAATTACTCGGTTACACTCCAAAGTTTATGCACTAAAACAGTTTAACCAAAATCATTGAACGAGAATCATATATTGACAATCATCAGTGATCCGAACACAGGCAAGTACTCACGCTCACAAAAGAGGAGGACGTCAGACTCCATCGCGTCTCCTTCCTACCACGCGACTGTTCCGAGCGACTCTTAAAATCAGAGTGTTCGCGGCTCCTCCTGTCTGAACCCCTCAGCATTCAACATCACGAAAAGCTGCTCGCGCAAAACCCATAAAGTCAGCAAACTGTGCGGTGGCGAGACTTGCCTCGTGTCATCTCTTAATTTGTCAGCAATTTGTATAGACTGTACAACTGACACCGGATGGCTAAAGAATGTACGGCATCTCAACTCTGACTTCCGGCGGGTTTACAACTTGTGGTTCACCCGACATATTTAAATTTATAAAACTTATAATTATTTTGTAATCAATAACACGTAAATTTGACCCCTTGTTAGGTTAAAGCATACCCATTAATAACCTGGGGCACAACACTACCAAAAATTATTTGGTTTAGAGTTCATGGTGGACATGGTCAATGTCATAAAATTTTATATGAGGCGTAAAATCGTAACATTCAATTTTGCCAAGTTAGAAGTGCAGTACACTGCAGGGAAAATTTCTGCATCTTGTTTGATAAAAAATGTTTATTAGTGTAATTGAAATATGTAGAGCTAAGTATGCTAATAAGATCTAAAGTTTGTGATGATGGTCTATTGCTACAAGTATTGTGTTTTTGGACATTATCCATCATCTTGTCTATTTTCTAAAAACCATCGTGTTTCTTTTTAAAAACACAACGTTTTGGAGACTGGATTCTGGCTAGCTCTATCTATTATACCCAACTAAGTAGGTTTTACCTGAGGACAGGGACAGAATCGAGTCTCCAAAATGTTATGTTTTAAAAAGAAACAGGATGGTTTTAGAAAATAGACAAGACGATGGATAATGTCCAGATACATAATGCTTGTAAGTATGCTAAGGTAGTTTATATCTCAAGTGGCTCTTTTCTGGTTTTTTGCCGAGAAGATGTTGAGTTTCTTTGGGGTATGGGGCGCAAAACATCAATAGAAATTAATTTTTATCTTTTAGTCATATAAGTGAATTAATTTTTCCATGGTTATTTCTGAAAGCAGAACAGTCTTCTCTTTTTTGTGTTCATTTTCTTGCACATGAATTGTTTGTGCAGGTTAGTCCTTTCAAATCGAGCATTCCATTATCTTCACCATCCGTGATTCTCCAGCACAAGTTTAATTTGCCATATGGCCACTTCCTACCAGCAGTGCTAGGTATCCATTGTGGATCAACATTGACGCTTTGTTACGCTGGCTTATTTAAGTATTTTTGTATAGTATTGAGTATGCCAAGGACCCTGAGAGCTATACCAGCGGTAGCGTAGGTACTGGCAGGGCCTCCATTGCTGGACAGGTCAAAGGGTAGGCATCAGACGAAGAGAGACACCAAAAACCAAAAACAGATGCCAGAAGCAGCGTCATCAGCAGCGACTTGAAGCACAGAGCAAATGATGCTCGAGATGGTTCAAGTTCGTATAGCAACAGACGTGACCAGAGTGGTTTGAACGGCTGTTGTACTGCGATGTGGAAAGCAAATGGAAAAACTACCACATTATCACTTTTCCTGGATAGTCTCTTTCCAAAAACAGAGATACCATGTATGTGAGAGAGGGGCAGATAGGAGTGACCAGAAGACGAGGAAGAAGACGTAAGAAGATGCTGGATGATCTTGGGGACAGAAGAGGATATTTTTATTTGAAGGAGAAAGCTCTAGATCACATTAAGTGGAGGAACTGGTTTGGAAGAGACTGTGGACCTGTCATCTGACAGATTGCTGATGAATGAATATATTGACCACCTGTGATTCAGAGAATTCCCTGGTCCGTTGGGTGCCAGTCTTGGGAAGTGTGACTTATATATCTGTTGTACAGTACATTACATATATGGTTAAGAAAGAAAATATCAAATTTAACTGCACTGCCCTTTCTCTTCCCTCATGCAGGTGCAATTGCAGTAGAGGCTATTTGAATTTGTCATTCCTTTATAATGTATATGTTCAAAGCCTCTCACCCATTAGTCTGCTGTGTTGTCTAGGAAGACCTACACAAGAACTGAAGTGAAAAAATGCTGTTTTGATTTGTATTGAATATCTCTAAAGTTTCTGACATCCAGCCAACAGATTCTTGTAAGTGGTACATGCCCTTTCCCATTCATGTTAGATAATGGGAACTTTGCTGTAACATCATATTAAATGGAACACATATTCTGGATCTCTGTAGGTTTTTGTAAGACAAAGGGACATTTAAGAATATTATATGTATCATTTTTTCTTGTGTGTTTTGTCAGTTTGACGAAAGAAGCGTACCGTCAGTTGGTGGGCAACATCAACAATGTTGTGGAGACTCATCAGCAGTTGCTCTCCACCTTGGAAGAGTGCAACCAGCGGCCTGTTTTGGAGCAGCGTGTGGGGAAAGTGTTTCTCACTTCTGCCCCTCATATCAAGCAGGTCCACCAAGCTTATTGCTCCTCACATCCTAAGGCAGTCTGTATTCTTGATAAATATAAGTAAGTACATTTAAGACACAGTTCCATAATTAGTACTTCAAGCATGAAAGTGTGGCATCCAGTAAGATCTGAGTAAGACGTCACCCAACAACAATATCAAAGACTACCTTGTGGTACAGAAGTATTAATATGTTTCTTTTGGTCATAAAATTGTGCCGATGCCATGTAATTATGTTTGAGAATGGGTTTTTTATGTAACATTAGAATTATGTGATTGTGGTTAATATTAAGATATGTAGATTGGATTGTATACCACGATTTATCTTGTTTCATAATAGAAATCTTACATCAAAACCCTACAAATAGATGGGTTTTGTGATGTTTGCTGCTGCTGTTCTAGAGCTTCAGTTGGAGTTCTTCTTTTCAGGACAGAACTCAATGAATTTATGGAATCGCAGGGTGCTGCAAGTCCTGGTCTTCTTGTTCTCACAACAGGCCTGAGTAAACCATTTCGTCGTCTTGAGAAATATGCAGGAATGCTTCAGGAGCTGGAACGACATGTTGAGGAGAATCACCCTGACCGTGGTGATACTCAGCGATCAGTCAGTGTGTACAAAGATATAGCAGTGAGTGTTAATTTTTGCATTCAGTCAGAGCTCAGTTCATCACCAAAAATCTAACTGTCTCTGGGACAGTATGTCTAATCACCATGTTCCCAGGTTTATGAGAGGTGGTGTAATGCAAGGTATCTGGTCATACCACAAGTCTTATAATTTTTAATGTTTCAGAAAAGAATTTAAAATCGTCTTTTACTTTGAATATGTCCATCTTCTATGTGCAACAATGCACATACTGCTTTACCAAGTGCAGACTGTTTTTATTGACCTGCACTAAATTTAGTCAGGCCTTTTAGGTGTATGGATACTTTGCATCATTTTAAAGCTGTAAGTGAACTTTCTTGTATCATCCAAATATTTTGAGAGATTTTGTTAAAACTTGAGTTATATGTGGTGTGTTCAAAAAGTATCGAACCTTTGTTCAGCAGAAATACATTTATTGATTTGGAGGCACAAAACCCTAATCCCCTTCAAAGTAGTCTCCTTGGTAATGCACACACTTCTCCCAGCGCTTCCGCCATTGTTGGAAACACTTCTGGAATGTGTCTTTTGGATGGTGATCAGCCAGGCCATCGCATTCTGCATGATGTCTTCTCTTGACTCAAAGTGGGTTCCTTTCAGTGGCATTTTCAGCTTGGGAAATAGCCAAAAGTCACACGTAGTCATGTTGGGGGAGTAGGGAGCCTGACGAACCACAGGAATGTTGTTTTTGGCGACGAAAGTCTGAATCAGATGCGCAGAATGGGCGGGTGTGTTATCATGATGGAGCTGCCAAGTTTTTGCTGCCCACAGATCCGGTCGTTAGCGCCGCACAGCATCACGAAGGCGACGAAGGACCTCCTGGTAGTATTCCTTTGTGATGGTTTGGCCTTGTGGTGCTTACTCATGATGCACAACCCCACGGGAGTCGAAGAAAACGGCCAACATGACCTTGACATTGCTGTGGACCTGCCGTGCTTTTTTTGGCCTTGGGGATGTCGGATGTTTCCACCCTTGATGACTGCATCTTGGTTTCCGGGTCGTACCCATAAACCGACAACTCCGCCTGTGATCACGGTGTTCAGAAAGTTGGGGTTACTGTTTGCATTGTCCAGCATGTCCTGTGCGATTTCCAGATGGCGTTGCTTCTGCTCCATTGTTAGCAGTTTCAGTACGAATTTCGCGGACACTCTCCTCATGCCCAAATCCTCGGTCAAATTGAATGTACCGATCCGATGCTTACCCCTATCTCGTTCGCAAGTTCTTGGACTGTGATACGATGGTCCTCCATGACCAAAGTCCACACTTGCTCAATAACATTCTCATTTCGGCTTGTTGAGTGTCTGCCTGAACGCGGTTCGCTGTCCACTTACGTGCGGCCATCTATGAAGCGGTTGTACCACTCCTTTATCCGTGGGTTGTTCATGGCATCGTCCCCGAAAGCCTGTTGAATCTTGTGAATGGTTTCCACTTGGGTATCGCCAAGCTTTTGGCAAAATTAGATGCAATATCGCTGTTCATGTTGTTCTGTCATTTTACACCTTACTGGAATCCGACGAGTGCTCACTACACGTCCTCACTCATAGGCCGACTGCTAGCGACTGACGCTTTCTGCAGGCGGTCAAAAATTCACGACTGCACATGAATGTCCCCTCCACATCTCCACTGAAGGGAGCCTCCCGCGCTTCATTGGTTTCCGGGGGGAAAAAAGAAGGTTTGGTACTTTTTGAACACACCACGTATTAGTATTTATGCTAGTTTGACCAACTTTAATTTACATTCATTTTAATCCTCTGCACACCATGGCATGGGTAAGTTAACTTGGCTTGGTGTATTTGTATTCAAACTCTCATTGCCAAACAGATCAGTTGAATGTTAATCACTTAGACAGTGTATCAAGCGTGTATATTGAAGTTCAGGAGAAGTAATAGGCTCTTGCTCTCTATGACTGTGTTCATTTGAGTGTGATCTGTTAAAGTATTGAGGGTTTTTCTATGCAACTGCATTTATCCCCTAGCAGCCTTGGCATTTCTAGCAGGTGATTTTGTGGTGGGGCTTTGATATGACATGGACTGCATAGAAAACAACACCTCTGACAAATCTTCATTGCCACAGGAATGTCTTTGCTGAGCCATTATCTGGCAACAAAAGGAAGGATAAAGTTTACTGAGCCTGTCCCTATGAAAGGAAGGATACACATACAGACATACAGACTGATGGGAAGGATTTATGAAGTACGTCGTTGAGATGGGCTCAGGTTCCATGAAATGCATACATAGTTTTATAAAGATTTGTTCAGGCATTCAAAAGTTAATGGGAGGGGATTCACAGACACACAGATAGCATGGAGATCACATAAGCCTACTTTAGGAAAGTAGGCTAAAATTTAAGTGACATTTATCCTTGAACAATATTTGTTATTTTTATTTATTTATGTAATTATTTGTATTGCAATGTTCATATGCATTCACACTGTAATATCTGTTCTTGAAAGACTGTTTATATCATGTTATCATATCTGTTAAGAAATAGATGTTCCACCAGCAGACTTATTTTCCATTAACTCTTGTATTTTTCTCATCACTCTGTATATTAACTGAGAAATTAAATTGTATCCATGTATTGCAATTTCTGCTCACAATCGCCCACAATCCATTCTCCAATTTAGTGAAAGAGTTAAGGGATGACTGGATTAATATTGATTTTTACAGTCTTCATGCTCTGCCACACGTCGTCAGAAGGAACTGGAGCTGGAAGTGCTGACCGGTGGTGTCCGAGGTTGGGAGGGAGAAGACTTATCATGCCTTGGAGAAATTCTGCATATGGGCTCTGTAGCTGTTTGTCCAGACCATAGGGATCGTTACTTGGTCCTTTTCCCCTCAACTTTACTTATGCTCAGTGTTAGTCAACGTATGAGTGCCTTCATATATGAGGTTAGTTTTCTTACTAAATATTATCTTAAATTTAAGGATACAGAGAATGTACAATATGTAACATGTATGAGATACTCCTCTTTCATCTCTGTGGTGTTTGTTATTTTGTGTAAAGTAGAAATTCTGGTTATTAATGTGATTGATGTTAAAAGGATATTCACCAGACACCCATTTATTTTTATTACTTCATTTGAATACTGAAGACAGCAAAGCAGTTAACTTGAAATCCTCATAAGCTGTGAAGCTGATATCAAATAAGCATTGGTTCCCACTGTGATGATCAGGAACTGACTATAGTAAAGGTCTATGAGTATCTGTAGTAAGGCAGCTACAAGTTATTTATACAAGATTTGTAGGTTGGAACATGATTGATGAAGGTTATTGTAGAGCTCAGATAAATTGTGTCTTATGAGAAAAAACTGGGATTTCATGTACTAACTTCCTGTAATGCTATAGTTAGCAGTCTGAGTAATGCTTTTGCTTAAACAAGATGTGTAGTTACATAATATTATTTTGAAGAAATTAGCGTTATTTTTATGTATGCTTTATTTTAATGATACTGGCAGTATCTCAGACTACATGAAATCAAATGGTAGAATGATAAATGAGTAATGATGGACAAGATGTGGGAGGAAGTGATAACAGCATATTTTGAGGTACTATCCTGGCATTTTCTTGGAAGGACTAAGAAACGGCACAGTCATCTAGTCTCTGGGTCAAGATTTATAATTGGGACCTCTTAAGTTCAGTGCAGGAATGCTACTGTCTCAACTGTGACACTCAATAAAAAGAAAATAATAAAGATTATGGGTTCACAAGAAGCAAGGTTGGTAAGTACATAGAGGGGCTATGAAATAACCAGCTAATGCTCTAAAATCTGTTATTCAACTAATCATACAATGGAAATGTTATCACCAGGGCCCGGATTTTGATGACCTGAAAATATTTAAAAAATGACCAAAAAATCCAGAAAAATGACGTAAAATATGACCCAAAAATGTAATATGCAGGGCCCGGATTTTGATGACCTGAAAATATTAAAAAAAATGACCGAAAAAATCCAGAAAAATTACCTAAAGGAGAAAAGAAAGAACACTTCACTTCCATGTTATTCACATTTCAGAAAACATATGAAGAAAAATTCCCAAAAATGGCCAAAATGACAAGAAATACCCTTAAAAGTAAAAAAAAAATTACCCCAAAAATGAAAAAATGACCTTAAAACTAAAAATGTCAAAAAATGACAAAATTTACCTATAAAATTTACATTTCTGTAACCAGCAGCTTATAGCCGAGATATATATACAGGGTGTTTCACGACTTTAGGGCATAACTGCAGGAGGTGATTTCCTAGGTCTTTGTGATCAAAAAAGTTCATATAAACATGTGTCCAAATTTTGACGGTTACAGAGTTATGACTGTTTTAACACATTGTGGACCGGAGGGGCCATATGGCCCTCTGCGTTTCCAAGCGTTGCGGACTGGTCGGGCCATATGGCCCTCTACGGTCACGTTATGTTGCAAAACGCTATATATCGCTGTGTGGCTTCGTTGAATCGTAACTACTGTGTAGATGACCTCGGGAATGATTGCTGCCTTATCTAGTAACTCGACCAGAGTCATTTCCTGTCACAACCTAAACAAAATTGGCTTTGTTCTAATCCAAGCTTGCACGCATGAACCACGCAGCTACCAGTTCAACATGGCCAGAGACGAAAGCAGTTGCGATCTCTTGGAGGACAGGAAATATTAGATATGTTCTACGATGAGCTATCAGATTTGCCAAGTGCTTCATCTTCTGATAGCGAGGCTATTATCAGTGACAGTGACAGGGGCCACAGGGCTGCCCAAAATGTGTCAAGTGAAAGTGAGAGCTCCGTTGAAAGTGCGAGTGTCTAGACAGCTACATGGGATAAAGTGGTCTGCCATCTCACTAATCGCCAAAGGGTTGAAACAGAAACGCACACAACAGAGCACCACACACAAACCACTTAACTCAGACTGACGCCAGCTCACTAACAGTCGTGGGAGACCCACAGCTAACACCACCTAGCAGCACAACTCGTAACTACAAAGCATGCGCGCGCAACAGGTCATTACCGGTTATTTTTGGGTCCCCCCTCGTACCTTAGTAAAAAGAAAATCCAGTTTATATGTCTACTGTATTGTCTGAGAATGCAGCATTTTATAAGAGTGATAAAAAGAGAGAAAAGATAAAAGATAATAGAGTGTGTTTCTGCTGCAAGTTGTTATTAGTTGTAAGATGATTCCCATATTAGTAAGACTAAAATAGATTTTCTTTTGACCATGTAAGTAGAAATCATTTTATATCATTCCATGTTTAATTTAATGACATGCATGTCTCATTATGCTTAGAATCCATAGTGTGAGATGACAGCTAGCAAAATTTTATAATATTGTCACGTGGTGGGTGTATGTGATGCGCAACAAATAACTTCACACCGTTTTGAATCTAGCAAACTTATTGCACATTCGCTCTTACCCTTATACAATTCACAATTTCACAATTACTGCCATCTGCAGTAGTCACTTCCTGGGTTCAGGTGTCTTGAATCCATTCACTCGATACAACTTAACAACAACTTGGGGCTGCTGGACTTCACCTCATCTCTTCGAAGGCTGGAAACCGACTTCTAATGCTCAACTAACTCTGGCGAATCCGAGACTGCAACTGCACTCGGCGACTGCTCACTTTCACTGAACTGCTTAGGTATTCCAGTTTCTCTTGTAAACCCTCAGCCAGACAGCGGAAAACGCACCTCGCTTCCGTGTTGCATAATCACTGTGTTTACTGATTGCCTAGCAACAGTTGCTGAATGGACTCACCTGTTGCATGACGTCACAGCCTAGTGGGAAGGGGTGTTTACCGAGCATTGCGTAGTGATGGAAGGAGTGGGGGTACGTGACATCATTCATGGAAACGCAGAGTTCATGTGACCCATACTTCCTGTTGTGCCATCTACATTACAATATCTTTGACTTTCTGTCTCTTGATGTTTATTCATATGCCTGGCATTCTTTGTCATTTCATTTCATCTTTTAACAACAGATTAATTGCAGGTCTTTAGGTTAATATATGTACTAAACAAATATTTAAAATCCTTTCAGCTCCAGATTGTTTGAAACTGTATAAAGCAAATTATGCTTCAGAAAGTATCTGTGCATGTATGTACTCTTACTTGCACAATGTATGTATGCAAAAATATTCTTTTGTTAGGAAAATTATATGTTTCCATGTAGGTCTTATTATGCTAACCCAGGGCTGAATGGAAATACAGTGGAACCTTGCTTAACAAGCACCTCTCATAATGAGTAATTCGCATAATGAGCAAAACAAATTGTAAAAAAAATGACTCGCTTAACAAGCGACATTTCCCATAACGAGTGATGAGAGGGGAAGTCCTGGATTGTGCGCTTGCTACATCAGTCTGTGTTTAGCGCTTGTTCCGCTAGCATCTTAGTGTCGCTTGTGATCACACATTTTTCCAAACTTGTGTTCAGACATGTTATTTGTGATTTTTTCTTGTACAAATTAATAACCCTTGCAAAAATGTCCCCGAAGAAAAAGCCGCAAAAGACAGCCATAAGAGAATAAAAATAACCGTAGAAATGAAACGTAAAATCATTGAAAAGCGAGAACGAGGTGTGAGCGTGGCTGATCTAGCATGCACATACAATCGGTCTACATCAACGATTTGCACGATTTGGAGTTGCATTGTGTTTCACAGCAAGAAGTTGTGGAGGAGAGTTTGTCAGAGGAGGAGGAGGAGGTAACAGCAAAGCAACAATCTTCTGGCGCAATAAGAGAAATGCTGAGAGCATGGGAAACTGTTGCATTGTACATTGAGAAGCATCGCCCTAATAAGGCAGTGGCTGTGCGCGCTACAAATTTATATAATGATAATGCTGTGTCACATTTTCACCAAATTTTGAAGCGTCGGCAAAAACAAATGTCTCTAGACAGCTTTCTAGTAAAAAAGAATTTGATATGTATCATAAACAATAAACTAATTATTTCGATTTTTTTTTCTGCAAATCAAATTCGCATTCCAGGTTGGTTCATTCTGCATAGAAGAAAAGATGAAGATGATTCACGCTCCTTAACAATGTATATATAATATTCTTTGAATAAACGTTATACATAACGTTTTTTTAATATTTTTTCGGCATGGAACGCATTATCGTATTTTACATTAATTTATATGGAAAAAATTGTTTCACTTAACGAGTGTTTTGCGTTACGAGTAAGATTCTGGAACGAATTATGCTCGTTAAGCGAGGTTCCGCTGTACCAACACTATTAATCCCTTATCATACCACAGAAGATGAAAGTGTTAAATACTAATATGCTGCCAAAATATTTTTAGAGAAGTGTAAAATTTTAATGGTGTTTATGCTTCACTATCTTTCAGGGGAAATTACCATTAACAGGAATAAATGTCACAAAATTGGAAGATACAGAAGCTTATAAAAATGCATTTGAAATAACAGGTTAGTGTTTGATTTTCTCAGGGATTCTGTAATTTTTCAGTCATTTAATATATTTCTTGAAAACAGTTTATATACTTGGGGAAATCCAAAACCAACAGAAAATAAACACAACATTATTTAACTTGAAACATATCTGAGTTTGAAGTGTTTGCTTATATTTATCCAATAAATAAGTGAACATGTATATTCACTGTCTTGCAAAAATCAAGTGCTGTTTTCTGTTATCATCAGGAGAGGAATTCAGAGGGTCTCATAATTAAGTTCATTATAGCATGTGCTAATCATGCTCTCAAAAATGGCTCATCATATTGATGGAATAATATAAAATGTTACCATCACATCCTGCAAATGTTTGCTTCAAATTAATATTACAGAAATGTTGAATGACGAAGAGGAGGAATTATGTACTTCTGAAATATTTCTCTTAGGCTTTAGTTAAAATAACGTCCATAATTGGTAGATGAGGCTCAAAAGTATCGTTTCCGATTAAATTTAATCAGAATCTGTGAATTGTACCTAGAAGTTTCTCCTTTCCTCTCCCAGGCCAGATTTGATTCTTTTGTGTATAGTGATGGTCCAAATTGTCCATCATGGATGAAGATTAAATATCTAACGGTAGCAGTTTTTAAAGGTAATGCAAATTTTTGGAGCCATAGCTGATTTTTGTCTTGTGTATATAAGGAACATTGACAGTATGCATTTTTTAAGGCTTAAATTCAAACAATGTTGACCATACAGTTTGTTGCAGGTAATTTGGAGTCCATTGTATTTGCACATAACTGTCAAAATCAGAGGACAGTAATGACATGAATTCATCGCATCAAATGGTGCTAGTGTTTCAGATGTAGTAGCACAGGTTATGTTTGTATTGTTAGTGTTATGGAGAACTTTGAACTTGTAGGGTGTCTTCAGGTGACAGAGACCATCCTGAGGTTCATGAAATAGAAGAAGCTGTATTATATCAGCTTTTCAGAGCATTAGGCTGGAAAGAAATACAAAGAAATTGAAGAGATTGACAAGGCTTGGGCTATAGGTATTAAGTATACAGGAAACCAAATAATGCAACAGTATTAACTGATATTTACAACGTGTTTCTAACTATGTACTGAATTATATGTAGAACTTTGTTGCTGAATGAACGTGACAAGATTTTTCTCTAATCTTACGTATATTTGTAGTTAGACTTGAAAGGATTCTGACGATGGTGTATACTGTACTTCTTTTGGCTTATTTTGGACTTCACCCATCGTCCGGTATAAAAAAGACAAAAAACCACAACGTTTCGGAGACTGGATCTGTCTCCGTCTTCAGGTGTATAGGGAAGGTTTAACCTACTCAGTTGGGCCCCTTAGAAAGAGCTAGTCTCAATCACTGGACAAACCTTGATCTGTAGAAACAACCTATGAACAACCGACAACCGGTTCCGTCAGTGGGAGGAAAGAATAAAATCGCAGTAAAAACATGATAAAAATTTATGCCAAACATGCACTTGTCAACAATGTAAAGAAACAGAAGTATGGGTTATATTCCATGAATTCAGTTAAAAACGAAAGTAAAAACTGGATAAAGCATGCCTTATCTGCATGGATAAAGAATCGTGCCAACATGGCAACTTCCGGGAATCAGACTAATCCCCGGGAGAAATTTTCCATAGTAAATCCACATTTCAACTTAGACATGGCATGTGCTGTTGAATCGGTGATTACAAAACTCCCACACATTTCAGGAATGGAATTCAGATGGAAGGTCAGGTCTATGTTGCAGAAGTCCAAGTCACCCACCTCCAACATAAGCAAGGAGGAGTTGAAAGCTGTGAAGTCCCTGAGGCTCAACAAAGATATCAGAATCCTGCCAGCAGACAAAGGCAACTGCACTGTAGTGCTAGACGAAATAAAATACAGGGACAAGATTAACACCCTGCTGAAATCTGGAGTTTATGAGTCCCTGGCAAAAGATCCGACAGCCAGTGTTGAGAGAAGAGTTCAGCAAATCCTCGCCCAATACAAAACTGTCCTTTCGGCCGAGGTAAAGCGAAAGCTTACCCCATACCACAGCAAGCCCCCACACCTATATGGTCTCCCCAAGATCCACAAACCAGGCATTCCACTGAGACCCATAGTGAGTTCAATTGGCTCCCCGTGCTACGCCTTGGCTGCCTTCCTACAAAAAATACTGAGCCCTTTGGCCGGCAGATCTGGTTCCTTCGTGAAGAATTCCGGACATTTCATAGAACTGTTAAAGTCTGTTAATCTCCGTAGACATGATATGCTCGCCAGTTTTGATGTGGTTAGTCTTTTCACCAACGTACCAGTCGACGAAGCCCTTCAGGTCATCAGAAGCAGGCTGAGTAACGATAACACGTTGGCAGAACGGTCTGTCCTGAAGGTGGAAGCCATCATGGAACTGCTGGATGTCTGCCTGAGGACCACCTACTTTCAAGGGGACGACGGATTCTACCAGCAGAAGGATGGCATGGCAATGGGTAGCTCCCTTTCTCCCGTTGTTAGCAACATCTACATGGAACATTTTGAACAACTGGCTATCGACTCAGCGCAGGACAAACCGTCGTTGTGGCTCCGATATGTGGACGACACATTTGTGATCTGGCCGCATGGTGCAGAGGGGATACAGAACTTCCTTACACACCTCAACAGTCTGAGACCGGCTATCCAGTTCACCATGGAAATAGAATCGGAGGGAACGATCCCCTTCTTGGATGTTTTGGTCATGAAGAAAGGGACGGCTCTGACCACGAAAGTTCACAGAAAACCCACCCACACTGGCAGATATCTTAATTTCAATTCCAATCACCCTCCGCATGTCAAAAGAGGAATTGTTCATAGCCTTCATGATAGAGCTACCACTATATGCCAAGACCGGCAAGACCGGGTGTTGGAGGTTAAAAGTTTGAAACGCGACCTTCAACTGAGTGGTTACTCTCAGGGCTTTATTGACTCGGTTATCAGGTCCAAGGGCGGTAGTCGTCAAAAGAAAAAAGAGGAAAAGCCTCTTGGCACGGTGTACATCCCGTATGTCAAGGGAATCTCTGAGAAGTTCAAGCGCATAGGGAACCAGTACAATATTAGAACCGTCTTCAAAACTAAACACACTTTACGATCTTCGCTCGTGAGAACGAAACCAAAAAGGGATCCTCAACACACGGCACAGTGCGTCTACAGCATTCCCTGTCAATGTGGCAGAAGCTACATTGGTGAAACAGGAAGACCACTGGCTGTTCGAATCCGTGAACACAAGCACAATCTTAAGCAGGGTCTTCTAGAGAAATCCAGGTTGGCTCAGCATGCATATGAAGAAGGTCACAGGGTCAGCTGGGATGAAGCTAGGATCTTGGAGATTGAAAGCAACAGTAGATACAGGAAATACAAAGAATCAGCTCATATGGCATGTTCATCCAATCCGATCAGCCAACCCAGTTTGGATATTTCTCCTATATGGATCCCCCTCATCAATGAAGAGGTTAATAAACCAAAAAATGTAATTTCATGAATATTAGTGGTTCCACTACTACTGCAAGTTTTTTTCCGGAGATTAGTCTGATTCCCGGAAGTCGCCATGGTGGCACGATTCTTTAACCATGCAGATAAGGCATGCTTTATCCAGTTTTTACTTTCGTTTTTAACTGAATTCATGGAATATAACCCATACTTCTGTTTCTTTACATTGTTGACAAGTGCATGTTTGGCATAAATTTTCTATCATGTTTTTACTGCGATTTTATTCTTTCCTCCCACTGACGGAACCGGTTGTCGGTTGTTCATAGGTTGTTTCTACAGATCAAGGTTTGTCCAGTGATTGAGACTAGCTCTTTCTAAGGGGCCCAACTGAGTAGGTTAAACCTTCCCTATACACCTGAAGACGGAGACAGATCCAGTCTCCGAAACGTTGTGGTTTTTTGTCTTTTTTATACCGGACGATGGGTGAAGTCCAAAATAAGCCAAAAGAAATATTTGTAGTTGTGGACTTAAATGTTAAAAAATATGCTCATTTGAAGATGTTATGGCATTGAAAGATTCACTTGCTTTTAATTACTGGTTTGTACTCATATATAGTGGTATTACCAGTGTTTAAAAAATTAATTACAAAGTTACATTTTGCAGGTGCCATGATTGAACGAATTATAGCAGTGTGTCAGACCAAAGATGACCAGCACACATGGGTGGAACATTTGAAACAACAGATTCGCACAGTGCGAAAGTCTTCCATGTCATCTCCATCTCCAGCCACTTCACCACCACCTGGCAAACCCCAGCCTCTACCTCCACCTCATGTAAGTCTTCCTCCAGCATCACCTTATTCTGAACTTACTGCTTTCTTTGCTGATCTGGTTCAGCGTGGTGTAATAACAAGAAAGGTTCTAAAAAGCTTATTATATGCACAGTTCAAAGAGGATGGAATTGATGTTAGTATTCTAGGGGTTAAAGTTCGCCGCAGTCATAAAGTTGAGTGTGTCATATTTCCAACTCGAGTGAGCATGGGAACCTACACTGTGAAACAGACTTGGCTTAAGTCATATGTAACAGAAGAAAAGTCTGATGATAATGATTCCAGTTCTGACACGGCCACAAACAGCTCCATTTCTCTGCAGGAAACAGAATCTTCAGACCGGAAGTCTGGACGTTTGGAGAGACAAAATGCTGTTGATTATGGTGGTGATGATAAGAGCTCTGTAAGCAGCTGTGCAAGCAGTCCATTTGGTTTCATACACTATTACAATTCAAAATGTGCCAGTAGTTCAGCAGGTATTGAGGGATTTGTGGATGGAAAAAATGCTGGACTTCTTGAACATGGTAGTGAAAATGTTTGCACCAAAATTAGTGAATTGCCTGGAAATAGTATTACTACACAGCAGGATTCAAAAGGCAGAAAATTTAGTTCCATGCTTAGTGTTAGCTGCAAACAGAAAGATGATAGAGCCCACCATAAAATAGCTACTCAGCAGTCCAATGAATCAAGTTTTGAAAGAACATCAGCACACAGATCATTCCCTCCTGTTGTCTGTGAGGACTTGACACAGCTAGATGAAGTTACTCTCAGAGAACCACCACAGACCAAAGGACCTCATCCACATGTCCGCCAAAGTCTTCCAGTATTTGGTCCTGATAGTTTCTGCCGGCCCAAGCCTGCACCATTGTGTGTACCAAGTTGTCATTTCACAAGTGAGAAGGATCTGTATACATCATGCCATGGAGTTTGTCTGAATCCTAAATCTCAGCTGTCACACTCTATGCCAGTTTTACCTCAGGAAGTATACTCACCAACCACTACACATTCTTCTAGTCTGAATATTCCAGCTAATGTGATACCTGTTCCCACTGCAGTCTTGGCAGAGTTATTGTACAGTCTGGAACCAATCGGTGACAGCTCCAGTTGTAAGGTAGTGCAGCAACAAGAGAGTGCTTCCAGTGACCATAGTGTTGACAGCATCCAGACAGTACGTGATCTTCCTACCAGTGTTTCAGCAAGTGACAGAGCTACAACGAAAGATTTAGATTTTTCCATGCCATGTTTGAAACCCTCAGAGTCCTCTCCCAGAAGAGCAGGGTCCAGTAGACGTCATAGTCCAGCAGTCTGTAGTCTTTTTAGCAGAGACAGACTTCATCATGGAATAGGAATTAAATCCCCAGCACACAGAAGATGTTACAGTTACCATTACATTAGTGTTTCAGAAAAGGACTATACAGATACAGGTAGATGCACCAATTCTAAACACTGCCGTTGCTGTGGTGAGGTTGCCTACAGTTCACGTTCTTCAGACTCTGGATTGGCTGATATAGCTGGCAATTCCACACTACCGTCACCTGACATGTCTGGTCTCATTCATGATCAGGATGCTGTAACATGCTGTCTGAAACCTACTGAAGGTCCAGAAAATTGTCTTGGTGGTGTTTCTACATCTGCATCTGCATTTGCTTTGTCAGTGACTCCTCGGGAGAGTGAAGAACTAGATGAACAAAATTATGAAGCCCAGTGCATATGCACATCACCTTTTGGTTCGACTCCTAGAACTTCTGCACAGGCATCCCTTACATCTGAAAAAATTTTTGTTGGATCGATGGATTCAGTGACTCCTTCTGTTACTTCAGCCAGTTTGGACCCTTCCCCATTGTCAGCTGCCCAGCCATGGAATACCAGAAATGAATTGGAGGAAACCCACCTGAACATGGGTGGGATCTATCGCTCTGGAATGTATGCTCATTGGTGGCTCAAGACTAAGATTCCTGCCTTGGCTGTGAGGTCTGAGGAGTCAGCACACAGACACAAGACACACAAACCTCCTCCACAAACAGGCAAGGCTTCTGTGTTGAAGCAATTTTGCAAAGCACTGATGGAATCCACAGTTGAAATAAATGTGAAGTTGTTCTCTTTAAAAAGTATGTCCTCTGGATGCACTTATTTGTTCAAAATTCACCTGAAGATGTTTTAGGCCTGTGATGCTGAATCCTTGTGAAGCGTTTGGAGAGGACTCTTCCTCTTTCATGAGCTTATGTAATGTAGAGAACTTGGGGACCTAGTATTTTTGCCTTCATACTCTTGTGTTGCAGGATAAAACTGGCTTAATATTTATTGCTGCTTTCTGTATCTGTATTTGTTAAAAGGAAAAAAAGTAATTTCATAAAAGTACAAGAATCTTATGTTTTATGCCAGATGCCAGACTTCTGTGAAAGTTTTTTTAACATACCTGTTACCAGTTGAAACTTTACAAGTTTTATTGCTGAATCTCATAAATTGGGAGTAAATGTGGAATCCATCAGCCTTGCAGTCTTACAGTGTTTGGAGTTTGCAATTAACATTTAGTTCTGCAAATGGCTTGATTTTAAAGTAAATATTCTGAGTTTGTTTGTGCAGCGATAACTTTTTGTATAGTGGTTACCACTTCATATAATGCTGAAAGTGGCTGGCTTATTTTGGTTAAAATAAGAATGACCTTGCCTGTTTCACAGTTCCTGCATAGATTTAGATCAGAGAACTACTTCCTTGTATAGTAAACTTCTTACTCATATCTCTGCATGTTTCACGTTTAACTACTGAGGTTCAAGAAGTAATATGTATATACTGTGTCACTTTGACAGAAAACAATTTTAGATTAGTTACACAGTAATGCTTGCCTGTATTGAGTTTAGTGGTGAAAAGATTACAGTTATCTCATTTATGACACTTATCAGACTCCAGAAACAAGAAGAGACAGTGTGTAGAAGATAAAGATAATGAGCCTAAGACAAACAGAAACAAAAATGTTTGTAATTTATGTAGAGTTGTAAATGAATTTAAGAAGGGATACCTATTTAACAAGTTGCCTCAAACAGAAACACATGACCTGAATTCAGGGGTTAAGAGGGAGAGTCAGTAAATGGGTCACAAATGGAAGCAGATCAGCTGTAATGGTTTTCAATGTATATCACTAGGTAGCAGCACAGTCCAACTTCATGACGGTCTAGATAGCATATGCGCATGCACATGTTCAAAGGCTGGTTTCAGTCATCAAAATGGTGACTGTGCTTAAGGGTTATACTACCAAAGAGCAGAATTCTCTTGTACGTTGTTGTGAGCAAAAGTACTCAATTTTATGGAACCCGAAGGTTCATTACTGTGTTCACAAGAGCCCTCCACTGGTCCCTATCCATCTCTCTAAGATCCACCAATATCCTATACGCATTCCTCGTCTCCCCCATTTGTGCTACATTACCTGCCCACCTCATCCTCCTTGATGTGATCATTCTAATTATACATGGAGAAGAGTACAAGTTATACAGCTCCTCATTATGCAGTTTTCTCCAACCTCCTGTAACTTCATCTCTCTTCGGTCCAAATATTCTCCTCAAACACCCTCAGTCTGTGTTCCTCCCTTAATGTCAGAGACCAAGTTTCACACCCATACAGAACCACAGGCAAAATTATAGTTTTGTACATTCTAATTTTTATGTTCTTGGACAATAGGCGAGAAGACAAAAGGTTCTGGACTGAATGATAGCAAGCATTACCAGAGTTCAATCGCCTCTTAATTTCCTCCTGAATCAGGTTTTGATAAAAGGACTCAATACAAGGGATATTTATAAAGAAATGTTTCCTGTTTACAGTGGTATTTGTTGCTTAAAACGGTTCACAACTGGGTAGAGAAATTCTCTCAAGGATGCTTGAAATCACAGTTGATTCCCAGTCAGATTGCCCTGTTGAGATTGCAAAAGAAGCAACTGTGCAGCATGTGGAAGAGTTGATTCTAGCTGACAGGGAATAGTGATAGACATTGTAGCAACTGCATTAGGATGTACCTATGGTTTAGCATACAGCAGGCATGTCCAACTTCAAACACGTGATTGATTTTTAGTGTCAAAGCTGCCAGTAATCTACCACCCCTCCTATTGTCATACCTTGCTTTAAGCAAAAATATGGGTAAGGATAATACAACACATGATGTTTGTTATAAAAGCAACATACATTGAAAGTACAGACTAGTTTAACACATATTTCCCCTTTAAAATCTGAATATAATCATGTTATATTACAAGTTAATTTACATGTTTTTCACACATAATTTCCTTATAGGCCTATGAGATCGACCAAAAATTGTCCCGCGATCGAGTGGTCAATCGCGACCGACCCATTGGACATGCCTGGCATACAGCCTAATACATGATCTTTTGAAGAGTGGAGAAGTGTGCACATGGTGGGTGCCCAGTGAACTGAATGGGTCTGTCCTTGCACCATCTCTTACAGTATGCAGATGAAGGAGAAAATATGCTTAACAGGACTGTTATGTGTGATGAATCATGAGGGCATCACTACCAGCCCAAATCAAAGTAGGCTTTAATGCAATGGAAGCACCCCAATTCAACTTCAAGGAAAAAGTTTAAGGTTATGCTATCAGCTGAGAAGGTAATGCTTACTGTGTTTCGGGGTTCTCAGGGAGTACTTTTGGCCCATTTATGGAAGCATGGTGAAAATGTGAATTCCACATCATAATGTGAAGTTCCATTGAAGCTTTGGGACAATTCACAGAAAAGGTCAAGACCACTGGCAAGAAGGGAACTATTTCATCATGACTCCATACATCCCAAGCAACCTAGGAGAGAATTCAGGAACTACAGTGGGAACTTCTTGAACATCACTTTACAGCCCGTACTTGGCCCCAAGTGACTTCTGTTTGGTCCACCAAAAGACTGCCTTGGTTGTAGATGTTTTGCTGATGATGAAGAGGTTGAGACAGGGGTGCAGAATTGTCTGAAACAAAAGTCAAAAGACTTATGTGTTGCAGCTTTCGACATACTGGTA